TAGGTGAGTACCATTATTTTTTGCCATCATACAGATGAGGAGACTAAGTATTAAATAAGTTAAGTCATTTGGTTTTGGTGACTAAGCTTGGATTCTATGCTAGGCCTGAGTCCAAAGTCTGTGAAGTAGAAATAACAAAAGCAAATAATAGAATTAATGAAGCCTAACATTATTTATTTTATAAGATTAATAAATTGAAATAAATTATTAAATGCCCCCAAAGATTGTGAGACAGAAAACAAACAAATTAAAAAGACACAAGATGAAGAGATGATCTAGGCTGGGGATGTGGCTCAAGTGGTAGCGTACTCGCCTCGCATGTGTGCGGCCCGGGTTCGATCCTCAGCACCACATACAAACAAAGATGTTGTCTCTGCCAAAAACTAAAATGTAAATAAAATATTAAAAAAAAAAAGACATCCAACAAAAATTAAAAAGAGAGTAAGAGGGCATTAGGTATAACTTTATAATAACAGATTTGAAAATTTAGGTAAAATTGACAAAATCCTAGGAAAACAAAAGGAACACTAGGAAAATTAGAAAGTCTGAATAGTTTTATGTCCATTACCAAAACTGAACATCATTCAAAACCTTCCCTGTGACAAAACTCCAAGGGCAGATAGTTTCAGGGATGAATTCTTCCAAACATTAAAGGAAAAAATAAACCAATGTTATGTAAACTTTATACAGTAATTGAGAAGTGGAAACACACACACCTCTGCTTATTTTGTGAGGCCAGAATAACCTTGATATCAAAACAAAGACATTATAAGAAAGGAAAATTACTAGCTGTCTTTCCAAAATTGATGCAAAAATGCTAAGAAAAAGTGTTAGCAAATATACGCCAGGAAAATCTAAAAATGATAATTTATCATGACCAAGATGGCTTTAGTCCAGAAGTACAATGTAATTACTTAAATACAGGGGGGAAAATGATCATCTCAGTAGATGCAGCAACATATTTAATAAAATTCAACGTCATTCTGATTAAAAATACTCTCAGCATACCAAGAATAAACTTCTTTAACATGATAAAGGAGTTATCAAAAACCTTAGTGATGAAATATTTAAGACTTTTCACCTGATAACACTCAAGGATAATACTCTAATTTTTTTTTTGTCAACATTCCACTGTAGATCCTATCCACAGTAATAAGGAAAAACAATAAAATAAAGGGAGATTGGGAAGAAAGAAAGAAAAAATATTCTTAGATAACATAGTTATACATATATAGCAAAACAAAACAGTTCACAGATGAAATATTAAAATTAATAACTGAATTTTGTACATTTATTAGGCTAAAATTCAATATATAAAAATCAATTGTATTTTTTAATATGCTTGCAACCGACAAAATTTTTTTAAGTTACCATTTACAGTCTCCAAAAATGCATAGATTAATTCAAATGAAAAAATATATAAGAACTCTTAACAGAAAGCTATCAAACATTATTAAGAGAAATTAAAGAAAACATGAATAAGAGAAGAAAGAGAACCATATTCATGAGTTGCAGAGCCAGTAATATAAAAATACCAATTCTAATTTTATTCATTGTTATAACTTAGTTACAAATAAAATCCCATATTTTTAAAAATTGAAATTGTCAAGTTAATTCTTAAAATGAAAATATTATGAAACAAGAATGTTTCATAATCAGTTGAAGAACAGATAAACCAATTGTGAATGATTAAATAGAGTTTCTGGAGGATAACTTTATGAATGAAAGATATCTTTATGAATGTGAGTCAGGGACTACTTTTTAAATAAGACACTGAAAGTGTTTACATAAGGAGTAAGGTTGATAAAAAGGATCGCATTGAAATTGTGAATTTCTTTCCCTTAAAAGACTTTATTAAAAGAGGGAGAAGGGGCTGGAGTTGTGGCTCAGTGGTAGAGCACTTGCCTAGCATGTGTGAGGCACTGGGTTCAATTCTCAGCACCACATACAAATATATGAATAAAATAAAAGTCCACTGATGTTTAAAAAAAATAAAACAACAACAACAACAAAACTGTGTTTAAAAAAAAAGAGGGGGAGAATATATTTACAATACAAACAATCATCAAAGTCATAAAATCCAATATATATAAACAAATTTTACAAATACGTAAGTAAAAAAAATGGGCAAAAATGATAAGCATGCATTTCACAAATGATAATCCAAATAGATAATTAACATTGCAAGAAGGAGTAACTTGCTCAGTCATCATAGAACTACAGTGTTCACTCAAAAGAATAGCTGAAATCAAAGGGGCTGATTGTTTTAATTTTGTGTAAGTTTGTTGAGCATCCACAATTGTCATATACTGTTGGTGATGTTATAAAGTATTATAGTAGCTTTGGAAAAATGGCCAAATCTATAAACACTTAAACATAGAAATACCTGGTAATTCAGCAGTTCACCCACACAGCAGAAATTCATATGCATATATGTCTACTGCAGTGTTCATTGTAGCATTAATTAAAATATCTAAAAGTGGAAATAACCCAAGTATTTATCAATACTAGGATGGATAATCTAAATTTCTACAATGGAATTCTACACATCAATAAAAAGAATCAACTGCTGCTACATGCAATATGGTGGAAAGATTCCACAAATAATGTTAAACAAACAAAGTCAGACACAGAAAAATACAAACTCTAAAATTCAGTGTATGTCAGGTTCACAAACAGGCAAATCTGATCTATCATGTTTCAGAAGTTATGGTAGTGATGATATTTAGAGAGGTGCAGCTTGGGAGCCATACAGGGTTTCGAGGTGCTGACATCATTGTGTTTCGTGATCTAGTTGGTAGTTTAGTCTGTTTATTTTATTATAGTTCATAAAGTTGTGCTTATATAATGTGCATGATCCTCTGTATGTTACTTTAAGAATTTTATTTCAAATAATTATTTTGTAGCACCTTTGCTAACAATGCATATATCTGTATTAAACCATATTGATCTATTGATATATATCTTAATTGGTATTAATTGGAAAAGTAGCTGTTAATTGGAAAATTTTAAATTATGTCTAGAATTATATGTGTTATAAATTATAAATATTGCTCTAATATATGCATTAGTAATGAGCTATATACATTTATTTTTTTGAAATGTTTTTGGAAGTTAATTTTTGAAGCAGACAATCATGAAAACTGTTTTAACTAGGCCTTTAAAGTTGAATAAAACAAAATGTTTTTCAGTTAATGTACACAAAAATTTTACAGTATACTTTCACTGGTACCTGATAATAAAACTACTGTATGTGGAAAAACTAAGTGTTATGCTTTTCAGATCCTTACAAAATTGTCAAGGCAATAAGTATAATTTAAAGTATCTATCTGTATTCTGGTTTTATAAGATGTAAGTATTCTTTTGAAGATGCTTTCTTGGATTGTGATGATATATGAAATTTCTTTACAGTTGTCTTATTTTGATTTCTTGATCTCTACTAAAATGTAAAAAAAATTGTGTATATTTCTTTTGTGCACACGCACATATATATCTCTTTTGGGAGAAAGGGAATAACAATAATAAAAAACAAATGTTGTACCCTGTTTTTAGTTCATAATTTTATATGAAGTTGCTTACTTTATCTCCTGTGTCCTTTGTTGGTGTACTAGTACAAAATTGAAAGTATATACTAGAGTTAAATTTTATTATAATCATATTAAATTAAGCTTTTTATTAGACCATACCTTAATTTGAATAATATTCATTTGCTTCTTTTTCTCGTTTAATGAAAATCTCCAATGGGTATTATTATTCTCCAGCTCAGTTTCCTGTTACTGTCTTTAAGCTGACTATGCTTTATCTTTCTGTGTGTGTGCTTGTGTATTTGCATTGCATACTATTATTTTTAAATGATACAGTAGATTTCAGAAAATACCTTTTGTCTCATTCATAAATTTAATCATGTAAACAATGAAATAATTCAACTTTTTTATTATGTCTCTAATAATAGACAGTAAATTATAAATGGAAAAAAGAGTTTCAGCTCTTTGGGCCTAGAAGTATATGTTGTTGTAACAGCTTCTAGCTGATAATTAAGTCATTTACTTACCAAACAAATCCAATAATTAGTATTACTCTGGACTAAATCTACTCATTGACCATGTTTCAACTTCCTATCTTATCTCCTGCCTCTCTCTTTTTTACTTTGCTTTGCATACCATCATGGCCTTCTTGCTGTTTCATTAGCATGCCAAGTACATTTCTTAGTACTTTCATTGATAACACTGCCCAGGTCTATAGTTCCTCAAATCTTCTTTAGACTGCCTCTATCAGGATAATCAGGTCTATTTAAATATCCAGTCAGAGATGTGGTTTTTTTTTTTTTTTTTTGTGTGTGTGTGTGTGTGTGTATGTTTACTCCTCTCTCTATAGTAATCCTAATCATTCTCTGTTTTTATTTTCTGCTATATTTTTTTTTCTTATAGCATTCATCATTACCTGATATCTTTTTTTCTGTTTTGTACATTTCATAGTAAATATATAAGCTTCCTGTGAGCGGGATTTATTTTACTACTGCATTTCCAACACATAGAATTTTAACAGATTCACAGTAGGCATTGTATAAATATTTGTAGTTAGAGTGAGTGAATGGATGAATTAAATATAAAGAATAGTTATCAGTTCTCATGGCTAAGCCCTTGGCTAACTCTTCAGGATTCTTTTTTTTTAATTCTCTTATATATCTAGCATTTCTGTTCCAGCATGGCTCCTTTGTTGGGATTTGTGGTAAATTTTAAATAAGCTCTAGTATTGTATAAAAAGCTTCTAAACTTGTTATTATCCTTTAAAGGTAGAGAAAGAGGGAAAGGGGAAAAATGATCTACATGGTATTTAAATTTGTCTTTTATGATGTATAACTAAATTTAATATTTGTTTCAAATTGTTTTTATCTTCAATAATTTAAAAATGTGGTAGCAATTGTTCAAGGTTGTAGATTTACATTGATCTTATTTGTTTCTATTTATATCTGTTTCTACCCTACCTCAATTTTATTTAAGAATCCAACTCAAGTTGGAACAGCTCTTCAGGTTTTCCATAATCTTGGGACTTTGAAGGATACTATTACCAGTGTTGTGTTTGGATATTGTGCTGCTTTGGAAGAGAATATCAACAGTGCATTAGACATCAAAGTTTTGACTCAGCCTTCACAGTCAGCTGTGAGAGGTATGGATATACTTTATATTTAGCTTCTTTATTTATTTATAACTGAGAAGTCCTTTGAATAGTATGTGAAACATTCATGTTTCAAAGCAATCTAATGACTCATTTTTTTAGTAGACAGAAAATGAGAGAGAAATTATGTTTCAGAATTTATTTATAAATTTTTTTGTCTAATCAGTGAGTTGTGGCCAATTGGTACATTCAGAACTAGATAAAGATCTCTAAACTATGGCATCATTTAGTTGAGAGGAAACAGATGCAAAAAAAAAAAAAAAAAGAAGAACATATTTTTCTTCTGATGTCCTTATCCTTATCCTCACATGTACTTCTTATTGAGTAAGAAAATATTTTTAAGAAATCTGCTATCTCTACTTTAGCTTTCTGGACTTTTCCTTATTGTAATTCTTATACTCAGGAGCAATAATGGCTGATGGAATAGAAACTGATAAAATTTGGGGGGAAATTATAACCATAGCAAAGTCTAAAGGAAACTGCTGAAAGAAGGTGCATTCAAGGTAGAGAGGAGTCTGCACCTCTTCCTGCCAAGGTGAATGGATAGCATTCACACTTCTCCACAAAGGGGAGAAAAGACCATATATTATGTGCACCTTTCATTTACTTCCTCCATCTCTCTTCTTAACATTTTTTTTCTTTCTGTCCTGTTAGTATGGATGAGATATACTTTGCTTCTAGCAAAGGCCACTCTGCTTTTACATTAAATTCCATAATTCCAGGATATTGCTTTAGCACATACCTTCTCCCTATCTTGTCTCTATTTTCTTCTCTTCATCTCTTTTTCATCACATACAGTTATCCTGCCATATCTCCTTCTACTTAAACATAGTCATATCTATCATGACTGCATTTCTTTCTTCCGTTGAACTATCCTGTTTTATTTCATTAACCTACAGAAAAACTTTCAAAATTTTTATGTGTATTTACTGTTTGCAGTTTTTCTCTTCCCATTTTTTAAGTGAAGGCATGCTAACCATCACAGTTATCCTCAAGAATAAATAAAATAATCTATGCAGAATTAATAACAGTTCCTGATACCTGGCTAATGTTAAAAACTTGCAGGCATTTATTGTTTTTTTTATATTTGGTATATAATATGACCTCATAAATATGTTGCACTGGATAAAAAGAGATAAAAGAATTGTAGGTCTCAGAGATTTATAAAGGTTAGCTTCTGAGTAGGTCGTATTAAGACTATTCCAGAATATCCTTGAAAATAAATTGCCATAGGAGATTTTACTCTCAACTTTTTCTAGCAATTATTATCAGAAAGTTTGATCTAACATTTAAATTTCTAGGAGCAGTTTTATCTCATTCCCTCTTATGTTGTCAAGAAAAGGGAAAAAAAATTAAAGCAGTTATTCACATCTGTCAATCTTAATGTAGGCCTTTTTTGTTGAAAGAATAAAGAGTCTTAAAACTGCCTTCCTATCATCTGTTAAGGAGTGGATTCCTTAATTTCATGTAGAAATCTTAAGCTTCAATTCTCTGCTTCAATATGTTTTAAAAGGAATAATCCTTATTACTTATAATTTTTAATGCCACACAGACAGTATTAATGTTAGTTTCCTCTTGTTGATTAGATTAAGGTTAGGTGAGAACATATTCCTTAAAATGTTCAAGGATGATGGGGCCACCATTTCAATAAATTTACTTGCAAATGGTTCAGGGAATTTTTTCTCTCTTTTCATTTCTCTTTCTTTCTTTTTTTTGCAATACTTGTACATTTTCTACAAATTTAAGATTGTTTTAAAGTTTAAAAAATATGTAAAATACAATTTTAAGGAAAATAATGTGAACTTGAACGTATAAAAATCTATAATTCAATAAGAAAAAGCTAACTCAATGAAAAGTTGATAAAGACTATGAATGGGCAGTTCATGTCAGAATATATCCATTAAACATATGAAAAATGGTTAACCTTTTTTGAAGCAGATGATCTTGTTGTAAGGCAAATAAAGATACAGAAGCAGGGCAGAGACTGTCACGCAAAGACTCTTGCCATAATTAAACTTCTCTGCCATAATTAAGCTTCTCCTCTTGTCAGAAAGATTTTTACAAAGAGTATCAGCAAGATGTCTATAGAGAGAATTGTGGTTTGCATCTTCCTCTTTCTTGTAAATGCCAGCTTTGCACACAAACAGTGTGATAGAGGGTCTGGGGCAGCACACTTGCTTGTCATGTCTGAGGCACTGGGTTTGATTCTCAGCACCACATATAAATAAATAAAGGTCTATCCACAAGTTAAAATAAAATTTTCTTTCCTTTTGCATTTATATTTAACTAAGGTTTTTTAAAAAAGTTTTTTTAAAAAGGTGTGTCAGAGTTAGAATCTACAGTCAAGCTTGTTGTACAAAAAGATATTATCCCTGTTTTCTTGGTAAAAAAAATTATAAAACCGGGCTGGGGATGTGGCTCAAGCGGTAACGTGCTCGCCTGACATGCATGGGGCGCTGGGTTTGATCCTCAGCAGCACATAAAATAAAATAAAGATGTTGTTTCCACTGAAAACTGAAAAATAAATATTAAAAAATTCTCTCTCTCTCTTAAAAAAAAAAAAAAAAATATATATATATATATATATATATATATATATATATATATATATATATATTATATATATCCCTGTCTGGCCTAAAATGCACTTTCTGAGAACACAAAGAAAAAAATCAATTACTTTAATGTAAAACCTCCATGTCCTTCCTTCCAATGAGTATAAAGGTCAAAGAATTTTAAAAATCTTCATTTAGAGGAAGAACTTTTTAGGCTGTAGCCCCCTCTGGACTCTGCAGTCTATAAATTTGCTTCGTGAAAATTTCTTGGGTGTCCAGCCCCTTCTGTCCTACTTTAATACTATTTCCCAATCTTCTGATTGTCAAAATCTAAGACAGCTGTGTTATATGACTGCAGAAACTCTTATACCTTTATTGTAACAAATGTTTCAACCAGTTAATATGAGGTTAAAAATTGTGTATTCTTCATGACCTTTTAATTTCTTTTATAAGACTGTATCTAAGACAAATTTTCATATATGTATAAGGATTTTTATTGTACTATTGCATATAGTGGTAACAAGATAAATATAATCTTTCCTTTCATGGAAAAATGAGCAAATAATTTATTTAATGATTTTGTAGCCAGCCCTTAAATATAAAATTATAATTCTCAAAAACAACATGAAAAAGTAAGTTCCAGAATTATATATGTATATAAAATATGATACCATATCTAAAGCCTAAGAAGAATACAACAGACTATAATATATATATATATATATATATATATATATATATATATATATATATATTGTTTTGCATATGTAATAAAAATATAAATGCATCTAATGATGATCACCAATTTTAAGATTTACTTTGGAGAGAGAGCAAGGAAAGTGGGACCAGGAACGGAGAGAACCAGGAAGCGTCACTTCATATGATCTTGTATTTCTTGAGCTTAGTGACTAATATTTGTAAAATTATTCTGTATTTTTTTCTTTCTTTTTTGTACCATGGATTGAACCCAGGGGTGCTTTAATGTTGAACTATATCTCTAGCCCTTTTTTATTTCTTATTTGAGACAGGGTGTCTTGTTAAGTTAATGGGGCTGGTTTTGAAATTGTGATCCTCCTGCCTCAGCCTCCTGAGCTGCTGGGATTATAGGCATACACTACTGTGCCTGGCTCTATATACTTTTTTGTATACATGAAATATTTATTAGTTTTGAATGACTGGTGCCTTTTTCTTTTTTTTTTTTTTAATTTTTTATTGTGGGTTGTTCAAAACATTACAAATTTCTTGACATATCATATTCCACACTTTGATTCAAGTGGGTTATGAACTCCCACCTTCACCCCATACACAGATTGCAGATTCACATCAGTTACACATCCATTGATTTACAAATTGCCATACTAGTGTCTGTTGTGCTCCGCTGCCTTTCCCATCCTCCACCCTCCCCCCTCCCCACCTCTCCCCTCCCCTCCCCTCCTCTCTCTCTACCCCCTCCACTGTATAACCCTGAGGGTCTCCTTCCATTACCATGCAATTTCCCTTCTCTCTCCCTTTCCCTCCCACCTCTCATCCCTGTTAAATGTTAATCTTCTTCTCCTGCTCTTCCTCCCTACTCTGTTCTTAGTTACTTTCCTTATATCAAAGAAGACATTTGGCATTTGTTTTTTAGGGATTGGCTAGCTTCACTTAGCATAATCTGCTCTAATGCCATCCATTTCCCTGTAAATTCTATGATTTTTTTCATTTCCTTCTTTGTGTTTTTAAATGATTTGATTTTCATCTCGTTCTTTTTAGTATTACTTTCCCATTTCTACATTTATCATTCCCTTGCCTGGATTTTATAATAAATTGGTCCCCCCCAAAAAAATTTTTATGCATTCTTTGATTTCTCAGTTCTTCCACAGAAGATGGAGTCTTTTGCCTTTATATGTAACTAATTTGGGCAAGTATAGATTCTTATTTTCACTTTTACTTAGAATTTTGTAGCTGTTTGTGGACCCCAAAATAATGTTTCTCTTCCCTATTGAATTTGAAAACAACTAAAATACAGATATAGGGAACAAAAGGATGATAATTAAAATGTTGGCTTTATTACTGATTTAAAAAACAAAAACATGATGACAACAATAAAAAACAAACAACCTTGAATTGAAGGGCATAGCTTAGCTTTGAAACAAAATGAATTTCTTAATATAGCAACTCCAAATGAAACTCACTCCCCAATATTAGCCTGCCCTGCTGTACTTACCACTGATGGAGTGCAAGTCAGAATGCACCACTTATGCACAACAAGAGAGAAAGGAAGGGAATGAGTCAGTTAGGTTCCATTTTATTAATCAGGTAAGTGGCTCCTTTTTACATGGGAATAGTGGAATAAGAGGTAGGAAAAGAAGGCAAGAATGTTCTTTTAACTGAAGTTCCCCCATATGAAAGACAAGGCCAGGGAAATGGAGGGTTCCCTCAAATATTAGACATGGC